GCTTATGCTGCTCATAAAGGCTTTAAAGTTTACCAAATGGATGCTAAAAGTGCTTTTCTAAATGGTGAACTTGACACTGAAGTATATATTCAATGGCCTCTCGGATTCATCAATCTTGCATTTCTGAACCACTGCTACAAACTCCGGAAGGCCGTCTATGGCCTCAAGCAAGCTCCTCGCGCATGGTACGAGACCCTCACCAACTTTATCGAGTGCTCTGGTTTTCAAAGAGGTATTCTAGATAATACTCTATTCCGAAGATTTAATAGAATGCATCTCAGGCTGGTTTAAATTTACGTAGAAAAAATCATTTTTGGATCTACGAACTCATCAATGGTTGCTGACTTTGCTAAGCTTATGATCAATATATTCCAAATAAGCATGAATCTGGAGTTAATTTTCTTCCTTGGTCTCCAAGTCAAACTGACTAATAGAGGAATTTTCATTCACCAAGAGAAGTACATTTTATAACTTCTCAAAAAGTACCCAATGGACACTTGTGCCCCTACCAAGGTACCTCTGGGACTCAGACACAAGATTTTTGCTGACCCTTCAGGTGTTGCAGTCGATGAAAAGAAGTACAGAGGAATGATTGGATCGTTGCTTTATATCACAGCTAGTCATCTGGACATCATGCTCTCCACATGTTTGTGTGCTAGATTTCAGGTCGACACGAAGATGTCTCATCTTTTGGCTGTCAAGCAAATTTTCAGGTACCTTAAAGGTACTAAGAACCTCGGAATCTAGTACCCAACAAATGAGAGTTTCCTGTTACAAGCCTACTCAAATTCAAACTATGGTGGACTACAACTGGATAGGGAAAGCACATCAGGTGGATGTCAATTCTTAGGTGGTCGATTAGTTAGTTGGTTATCCAAGAAATAGAACTGCATTGCTCTCTCTAAAGCCAAAGCCGAATACATTGCTGCTGCTAGCTCTACCTCTCAAGTTCTATGGATGAAATATCAACTCTTGGATTATGGTTACTGCTTTCAACGAATCCCTATCTATTGTGATTCTCAAAGTGCCATTCAATTTCACACAATCCAATTCAGTACTCCACGACGAAGCACATCGACCTAGCATACCATTTCATAAAAAACCATGTTTTGAATGGAAACATTGAACTCATTTTTGTTCCATCTTACGATGAGATTGCTGATGTCTTTACTAAGGCGTTAGATGAAACCAAATTCAATGGTTTTCTGAACAAGATGGGTATGATGATGCCAGATCCTTAGTTCTTTCAAGAGACTTGTTCTCTCTAATGAAAGTATTCGAAAGAAATCTGGTTCCGACTTAAAAATAATATTTCTCTTGGGACTACTTTCCCTTGGAATACACAGGATAATTTTATTAGTCTTTATATGTAACCATCACTTGAGTTTGTAAGTTGTACAGTTCATCCTGATTGTATGTTGTTTCATGTCCTCATAAGTTATAATGATAAATATTTCATCTCAAAATTCACCCCATAAGGTCATCCCGGAATTCAACTCCAGAATGGTATTGCGCTCTACACTTCAAAATTCTTTTTCAAAATTTTGATTCCGGAAGATTTCTCAAAGCTTGTTCCGGACTGCCTCTCAAATATCTTTCAAAAGCTATTTTCTCCATAACATAAAAATCATCATTTCGGAATTTCACTCCAGAATCACTAGTTTTTTTTTCTTTTTCTTACTCTGGAATCTGAAATCAAACTCTTTCACTCCAGAATTTTCAAAAAAGTTCAGATGACATTTCACTCGTTATTTTTTAAATCATAGTTCCAGAATCTCAATCGAAAACCTTTTTGAACTATAAACTCACTCCGGATTAACTTCCACTCCAAACATTTTTCAAAAGATATTGTTCCCGAACTCAACTCTTTATCCACCGGTTTTTTCAATTCATCCGAAATCGATCATCTGGAATACCAAAGGTCCATAAGGCGAAACATTTTCATAACGGTTACTTTTAAGAGGATCCTTATCTTGTCTTCCTTGATTTTTGTGACACTGTTAAAACTATTGTCGTACACGATTTTAAACAAATAAAATATAAAACAAACTGCTCTATTGCACTAACAGGTAGTACGGGCAAGCAGGGTCAGATCCTCAGTGACATGTCTTAATGTTTATATCTCTTTATGCAAGGTATGAACTAATTCTTGATAAATGCCATAACATAAAAAAGGGGAAATTGTTTTCATTCTGAAAAACTAAACAATAGATATTGAAAGTGACAAGAAAATGACCAAATGTAAAGTGATGAAAATTCAAATAATAGAAAGCAATTCCAGTTTCGCGATGACTCCCCTAATCATATAATTAACCTTCAACACAATATTTGATTATGCACTTGTTTAAACTAATACTAAGACTCATTAACAAGATCTAATGACCTTTATTACAGGAATCATTTAATCAAAATAAGTTCTTTGGATTAAACCTAACTTTTAACAAAATTAATTAAACAAGCTCTTGATCAACAAGGAAAAGTTGTATTAGACACATTATAATTTCCCAGTAAAGTTCAATACCTCTCATAAGCTTGGAGGCGTTAAAACTTGTTTGATCAATCCATATTAGACTTAACCCTAATCCCATAATTAATCCAATATATGTCACTCTTTACTAATCAATCTAGACAATTACGGATCTAAATAATTAGATGACTGGAATGATTCACAAACAATTCAAATGGCCAACCCAAAATCGAAATCAGAATCAAACACTCAATTTAACACGGGAATGGTCAAACTAAACAGTAATCATAGTCAATCATAGTGCTTAATGATTAATCATACGAGAAGGTTACGTCTTGCAAAACTGAAATTTGAGTTTTTAGCCTGACATGTCTAAAAACGAGTTACAAACGATCAAAATAAACCCTAATCAGTAAATCTTACTAAACTATGACTTGGAATCGAATTGTATCCTTTAGATCAGCGTTCTTCATTTGAAAACCTCTGAAAATCGTCTCTGAATTGCCAGAAATCGCCTGTATCGCCCAAAAGTTCGTCACAACATTTTTTAATGAAGTATGTTGCTATTTTGGCTCGACAAATCCTTGTAAGAAACCTACGATCATAACATGCAATCGCAAAGGGAAGCTGCGATCGGCAGGACAGAACATGCGATCGCAAGCTGCTTCATCTGGCTTTTTTGGTCGTCATCCTCCTTCCAAACAGTTCCTGATCATTTCCCGGCATCCCTCCTTTGTGTAAACTCTAATTAAGCTCCAAAGCATCCACAAACGCATCCCGAACATGCGCAATCATCCATATGCTCCAAATAGCCTTGAAAAATCATAACAAACATGAGCAGTACGGTCATTCTACAAAATAATCATGAAACATGAAATACATAGGAATAATCGGGAATTAGTTAGCTTTTTATAATGAAATACGTCGGAAATTGTGCTAAAAGATGCATATAAAATGCATCTATCAAACCTCCCTAAGCTTAGACGTTACTTACCCTCAAGTAAGGAAACGATAACTATAGAAATGTAATTGGGCTAAAGGCAACAACTGATCAACCTAGACACAATCAACTAAAAGAAACAAAAACCTAACAATAATAAAAACTACCAAACCTAAACATAAAACAATTGCATGCGAAAATAAAGAAAATGAACAATGAACTAAAATAGTATGCAAATGAAGAACAAACAAGTAAAATAAAACTTTTTTTTTTTTTTTGTTTTTTTTTACGATCAGATTTTACATCGATAATGGGCTCCAATCATTAACACAAATGCAACCCTCCTGACACCTTTCATGTATCACAGACCCTAAAGTAAGGAAGACCACAAACGGTGTAATCCAATAGTCCAACTCGAGTTTTATTTAAACTTTGTAACTTAATTAGCTTTATGAGCGAAAATAACATAGTCCGGATCTCATGTCCTTAAGACTAGATTGCCAAGAATCAGAATCGACTCATCCTTAAGAACCCGCATGACCAAATCAGCTTTCGCCGAAGCAGCAAGGTCCAACCCCCGTAGGAACCCGAGCTCTATGCTTTCACTTTTCCAAGAGCCACAAGTATCATATCACACAATTCTTTATTCACCATATATAACTTTGGAACGACTTCTAACTTGATTGAACTTTGATTTGTACTATGTTTTGAGCTTTATTTCTTTAATCCCCCTTTTTTTTAGAATTTCTTGAATTTTATTCAATTGAGTGCTTGAAATTCTTCGATTTGGGTATTAGATATAACGTTGTACACTTTCTTCATTTTGACTGTGTGGATCTTATACTTCAACTCTCTGCTACCGCAAGGGTAACACGTGTCAACAAATAGGGCCATGTTCTGTGGGTTCAGAGTTGTCGATAAAGATTTTTTTTAAACATTAATAAGCAAATCATCCTAGAGTTGTTATTACCGCCCAAAAAATGTTTCAGTACGCCATTTTTTTTTCTAAGGCTGGGGTCTTGAATCATGGTGTTTGGATCCCATAGTTATGACAGCTGATTCTACACTTCCAACAACATTCAGATTGCTTCGGATTTTTCTCATTTATAATTCTTAATATCCCACTTCATGGAGCTATCGTATGTAAAGAGTGTCATCATCTCGTACATTTTTTTCATGCAAATGCAAAATGCAACAAAATGAAATATTTTAGAAAAAAACTAGGAAGGAATAAAACGAAATATAAATGAAAAAATCTTTTTGGAAATTTTAATTTTTTTTAACAAAAAAACAATTTTTTTTTACAAAAAAGGATAGTAAATCCCCTCCCTAAGCTTAAAATTAAGCATTGTCCTCAATGCGTAGGGAGGAGTGAAAAACGAAATCGTTGCAGAAGTATCGAAATCATCACGCAAACCTAAGAGCTCGTCATGATAACCAGTAACTTGAGTGATATATAGCTGATAATCAAGGCGGAGACTAGACATAGTCTGCTGAAGAGATGCAATATCCTGACGGAGGTCAAGATAATGCTGGTAAGTGAAAGGGGGAGTTGGGGTGAGGGTGAGATGGTGGAGTGGGTGGTGGCTGATCCTAAAAGTCAGTCTGCATGGGATCAGGCTGGCTAAAGGAAACAGGTGTGGCGTCTGCGTAGTCTGGGTGTTGAGTAGACGAAGATGGTCGATTAGATTGTGGTTGTCTGACCTGCTGTGCACTGCGTGGACAAGGAGGTGGTGGGATGTTCGACGGGAGAACCCACATGGTGTCGTTAATGGGATCTGCTAGGGCGATGACATCAGGCCCAGTAACCTTGAAGTAAATGGGCCTGCTAGGACAAAGCATGTGCATAGCCCGATGGTTCTGCAGGGTCAAACGGGAAGACTCAACTTGAAAGAAGGTGTACCCAGGAGGGATTTGCTCCACGAGGGAGTGGGCAATGAAACTAATCAGACCACCACATCGAATGGCACCGCCGGTGCGAAGGCCGATAACTCTGTGAAACCGTTTGGTGATAATATCACCAAAATGTGGGCGGTTTAAACCGGTGACCATGCACCACAAAATGAAAAGCTCGGCTTTGCCAGCGTTGGTAGTCTCAAGCTATGCATAAATGATATTGCATATAATTTTCAATGCAATTTTAAGAACAGCGTGTACGATGCTAGTCTGGACGGATGCAGCCGAGTCATAATTCTCCAAACCAGTGATGGAGTACAAGAACTTGTAGACGTCAAAAGCGGGAGTGGGCTGGGATAAACTAGTGACGGTTGTATGAAAGATAGTACATAACTGGTCTACATGGAGAGTGTGAGGGGTGCTAAAAATGTGAAAGGCGAATTTTCCCTCATGGTTCACCTTGCCCAAGGTAGGTAAAAACTCGCGTATCAATAAGGGACAAGTGGAAAAGTTCGCAAATAATAGGCGTTCCCAACCAATATTGGCAAAAAGAGCGCGAACACCATCAAAAATATGGAGTTCCTGCATAAGTGTGCGGCTAGGGGCCTAGACCTGTGGCAGAATCTCGCGATCAATAAGCCGTTGGTAACAGTCAAGTGCCGCTTGCAAACCTAAATCTACAGTAACATTATCCACCAGGACAGTGTATGGCAACTCTGGGGATTCACCCTGTCTGCGTGAACGAGATGATCTAGTGGCATTTTTTCTAATAATAAAAAATTTAGGTAAAAAGCGGGACAAGGAAGGCACAATTTACTGGATATAAGTTTGAAACGAGAGTGATATAATAGTACCTTTTGACCGGTAACGAATACCTTTCGCGAGATCATCTTCTCATGAAACGCTTTCATCTTGTCCTTGTAAATTGCTTCATTCTCGTAGGCATCATTCCTAATTTGTTCTAACTCTTGGATATCTAATCTTCGTTTATTAACAGCTTCATCCATGCTCATGTTTAACTTTTTGACAACCCAATAAGCTCGATGCTCTAATTCAACCGGTAATCGATAGGGTTTCCCAAAAACAATTCTATATGGTGACATACCAATAGAAGTTATGTATGCTGTCCGGTGAGCCGATAACGCATCATCCAATCGAATACTCCCAATCTTTCTTGACTGAGTTGATGTTTTACTCTATAAAGCCCTTGATTTGTCTGTTTGAAGCTTCAGTCTGCCCATTCGTTTGCGGGTGATATGATGTGGATACCTGATGCGTGACACCATATTTCTTGAGGACTGCTTCGAGGGTACGGTTGCAAAAGTGTATCCCTCGATCACTAATTATGTCCTTTGGTGTCCCAAACCTAGAAAATATATTCGTCTTGACAAAATCAACTACAACCTTGGCATCGTCTATTCATGTAGCTTTTTCCTTGAACCATTTAGACACGTAATCTACCGCAAGTAAGATGTATACAAACCCAAAAGATGGAGGAAATGGACCCATGAAATCTATACCCTAAATATAAAAAATTTCACACAACAGGATTAGAGTAAGTAGCATTTGATTACGAGATGTCAAAGACCCAGTCATTTGGCACCTTTCACAAGTTTTGCAAAACATAAAAGATTCACGAAAGATATAAGGCCAATAAAGACCATTGTCCAAGACCTTGCACGCGGTTCGTTGTGGACCATAATGCCCACCACAAGCTTATGAATGGTAGAAATTCAGGATTGATTTGACTTCATCTTGAGGTACACATCTTCTAATCACTTGATCAGCACAGTGTTTCCATAGATACGGCTCGTCCGAAACATATCTTTTCGCCTCCTTCTTTATTTTGTCTTTTTGGGCTCGGGTAAGATCTGAAGGGAGTTCTCTTTAAACCAAATAGTTTACTATATCAGCAAACCAAGGAGGGTTCTGAACAACAAATAGATACTCGTTAGGAAATGTTTCGTGGGTCGGTGTCGGGTCATCAGGTGGGGTGAGGCGGCTCAAATGATCAGCTACCAAATTTTCTCTCCCACTTTTGTCCGTAATCTCTATGTCAAACTCCTATAGCAGCAAAATCCATCTAATCAACCTTGGCTTTGAGTCTTTCTTGGCTAGAAGGTACCGGATGGCTGCGTGATCAGAAAAGATATTAAATTTTATCCCCACCAAGTATTATCTGAATTTTTCAAATGCAAAGACAATTGATAACAACTCCTTTTCTGTGGTGGAGTAATTTTCTTGGGCATTATCCAAGGTTTTTGATGCAGAATATATAACGTGTGGGACTCGGTCTCTTCTCTGTCCCATAATAGCTCCAACAGTAGTGTTACTGGCATCACACATTATCTCAAATGGTAAACTCCCATCTGGGGGTTGAATGATGGGGGCAGAAGTAAGGAGAGTTTTCAGCACATCAAAAGCCTTCTTGCAATTTTCATTGAAGTTGAATTCAACATATTTCTGCAGCAGCTGGCACGTGGGAACTGATAATTTTGAAAAATCTCTTATAAACCTCCTGTAAAACCGTGCATGACCAAGAAAGGAACGCACTTCCCGAACATTCTTCGGGTATGGTAAGCTATTTATAACATCAATTTTTGCTTTATCGACTTCTAAACCTCTTTTTGAAACAATATGTCCAAGAATCAGACCTAGGTCAACCATAAAGTGACACTTTTCAAAATTTAAGACCACGTCTGTTTCTATACATCTTTGTAAAACTTTTGTAAGATTTTTTAAACAAATATCCAAGGAGTCTCCATAGACAGTGAAATCATCCATGAAGACTTCTATGATATTTTCGACATACTCAGAAAAAATACTAACCATACACCTTTGAAAGGTAGCGGGTGTGTTGCAGAGTCCAAATGGCATACACATATACGCGAACGTCCCGAAGGGGCAGGTGAAAGTTGCTTTTTGCTGATCTTCTGGAGCAACTGGAATCTGATGGAAACCTGAAAATTCATCTAAGCAGCAGTAATGAAATTTTCTGGAAACCCTCTCTAGCATTTGGTCTATGAATGGGAGCGGAAAATGATCTTTCCGGGTAGCAGCGTTTAATCATTTGTAGTCAATACAAACGCACTATCCGCTATGAACTCGAGTTGGAACCAACTCTCCTTCTTTGTTCTCTACCACTATTACGCCAGCCTTTTTGGGAACGACTTGAACTGGGCTGACCCACTTGCTGTCTGAAATTAGGTATATCATTCCAGCATCTAGTAACTTCATGACTTCTTTCTTAACCACCTCCATCATTGGTGGGTTTAGTCTGTGTTGGGCTTCTCGTGATGGATTATAATCCTCTTCCTTCAATATTTTGTGCATGTATAGAGATGGGCTGAGTCCTTTGATGTTTGCGATAGTCCACCCAATTGCTATCTTGTACTCCTTCAAAATTCCAATCAGCTTGAATTCTTCTTTTTCTGACAGCTTGTTGGATATGATAACTGGTAGTGTTTCTTTTTCCCAAAATATGCATATTTCAAGTTTTCTGGAAGTGACTTCAGCTCCAGGATGGGAGCTTGCACTACAGAAGGAAAAAGCTTGGAGTTAGAAATTGGTAATTTGAGAGTTTGGGTACCATACCTCAATTTTTTCTGCTGATCCATATGAGCTACCATCTCTTCAAGTTCTCTATCAACCACATAATTTCTAGTATAACCTAAGCTACATTAATAGAAAATTTTATATGGAGCACTAATGCTAGTGACTCATGGTTAGCAATTTCAAAATATTCTGCAGTTAATGGTTCAATTACATCAATAAAATTAAGAGATGAAACGTCATCAGGGTAACGCATTGCATCATAAATATTGAAGTTGATAACTTCACCATCAAATTCCGTTGAAAGGGTACCATCATAAACATCTATTTTGGTTCTGATAGTTTTTAAAAATGGTCTCCCCAAAAGAATGGAACCTATGTTTGGTGAGTCGTCATCTCCCATATCCAAAACATAGAAATCAGCCGGGAATATGAGTTCATTCACTTGAATCAAAACGTCATCCAGCACACCTTTTGGGTGCACCAAAGAACGATCAGCTAACTGAATGATGACTCCAGTTCTTTATAAGGGTCCTACCCCGATAGTTTTAAAAAGCGAATATGACAAAACATTTATAGAAGCTCCTAAATCCAACATAGCTCTTGGCACTGAAAGGTTCCCCAACTTGCAAGGAACAGTAAACACTCCTGGATCCTTACACTTTGGGGGTAGCCTTTTTTTTAAACAGCTGAAACATTCTCGCTTACTTTAACTGTTTCGTTTCCTTTTAGTTTCCTTTTTGAAGTACGTAACTCTTTCAAAAATTTAGCATATCGGAGCAGCTGTTTAATTGCATCAAGAAAGGGAATATTCACCTCAACCTTTCTGAAGAAATCCATAATCTCTTTATCTTCCTCTTCTTTTTGTAACGCTCTAAAAATTCCAACCAATTTAAACTTTTCAAAAACAACCCAGTTTCATTAAGTTATTACAAAAAGGTTTTCAATATAATTATTATCAGACTCTTCCCAGAATCATATCATAAAACATAAACACGAGGAGCGGTACGATCACGCCTTTGCCTTGCCAGGGTCTCCTGAAGTACCTGAAACATTTAAACCACAACTTTAAGCCCGAAAGCTTAGTGAGATACCCCCAAAATACCAACCACATATACCATACACATAACATGTCATATCATAACAAAACACAGATTAGCCATGCACTTCGGGTCTATTGTGTGACTGGTCCGCCGTACCGGACCTTTAGTCCACCTGGTCCACCCTCTGAGTGTAGCCATATACATGGAGTGTACAGTGTGATTGGTCCGCCCGCACCGGGCCTTCAATCCACCTGGTCCACTCTCCGAGCCTCAGCACATTTGGTCCACCCTCGTGGGTCCTACAGCCTATCCGGACCGCCTGCTGGGCCTTCGGGATATCCGGTCGCCCTGGTTATGTTGGCCAACAGCACAAAGCATGACCCGACTCAACCCAAACCCAGTCCAACAACCATGTGCACATGAACATATAATCGTATAGAAATTCACAACTAGTCAACCGATCTTACATATCACATATCGTAACAACATCCTAACCAGGATACCGACCTAATCAGTCACTAACATAGCATCATCCTATATACCAGGATATCGAACTTAACC